AGATTCCCGATCTGATGTTGTCAGTGTGGACGATACAACTATTAAGAAGGGTTCGGTGAATGCACATATGAAACTGGTAGGGTTCGGTGAATGAACATATGAAATGGTAAGGTTCGGTGAATGAACATATGAAACTGGTGGGGTTCGGTGAATGAACATATGAAACTGGTAGGGTTCGGTGAATGCACATAGGAAACTGGTAGGGTTCGGTACCTCCAAGAAAGTTAGGAACCACTGCTTTTCACTAAACTAAAAGCTTCATGATTCTTGAGTTGATTTTAACCGCAATCCTATTCCGATACGGCGCTTTTTAAAAGTATACGGCTTTTCGTAAACAAAAAAAAAAAAAAAAAACCATTGATGTCTTACGCGAAAGAAGGGGGGGGGGGGTGAGGTTGGAATCGAGTGGGAGAGCGGGTGTAGAAAGATTAAAGTTATAGGTGAGAGATCCGGCACCCGCGGTTAGGATGAGATAGAAACGGATGCTGGGGTCGGGATGAGATAGAAACGGATGCTGGGGTCGGGATGAGATAGAAACGGATGCTGGGGTCGGGATGAGATAGAAACGGATGCTGGGGTCGGGATGAGATAGAAACGGATGCTGGGGTCGGGATGAGATAGAAACGGATGCTGGGGTCGGGATGAGATAGAAACGGATGCTGGGGTCGGGATGAGATAGAAACGGATGCTGGGGTCGGGATGAGATAGAAACGGATGCTGGGGTCGGGATGAGATAGAAACGGATGCTGGGGTCGGGATGAGATAGAAACGGATGCTGGGGTCGGGATGAGATAGAAACGGATGCTGGGGTCGGGATGAGATAGAAACGGATGCTGGGGTCGGGATGAGATAGAAACGGATGCTGGGGTCGGGATGAGATAGAAACGGATGCTGGGGTCGGGATGAGATAGAAACGGATGTTGGGGTCGGGATGAGATAGAAACGGAAGCTGGGGTCGGGATGAGATAGAAACGGATGCTGGGGTCGGGATGAGATAGAAACGGAAGCTGGGGTCGGGATGAGATAGAAACGGAAGCTGGGGTCGGGATGAGATAGAAACGGATGCTGGGGTCGGGATGAGATAGAAACGGAAGCTGGGGTCGGGATGAGATAGAAACGGATGCTGGGGTCGGGATGAGATAGAAACGGATGCTGGGGTCGGGATTTTATTGTGAAGTAATTCGGCGTCAGAGACTTAGGGTACGGGCCCGTCGCCACCGAGACGGCGAGGTATTTGACTGATGCTCGTGGAATAACTTTAAAGGTTAGCATGCCGTGGACGCGGGCTACGGGCGAAAGGTCAGGCAACCGGTGCAGCATTTGAAAGTGAGCACTAATGGAGACGGATGGGACCGTGACACATGTTTCTATGAATCAAAAGTCTCCGTCTTTCTCGCGGACCTCGTAATGTGGTGAGCATATTTGTGGTATCACTTCTGACATTTGTGCTGTTGTTCCTGCCCGGTATTTCCATTTCTGATGTTTTCGTAGAGGAAATAGACTATTTATAGGTTTTGGTAGACGCGGTATGCGTACTACGTCACAGTTTACGTGTTTTTACACGCTAGCGTTGAGTCAGCGCATGCCCTGAAGTGAAAAGCACGTGATAATTATTCGCTAATTTCTCACGGTTCTTTGTTGTGGTTTTGAGCCACTCACGCGCTGGTTAATTAGCGTTCACACATTTCTTTAACTGCCACGTGTTATTTATATTATCCCTTGTCGAAAATGTTTTACAGAAGTCTGAAAGTAAATTTAGATTTGAATGAAAATACATAATGATTCATATCAACATGATTTCTGAAGTTTCCTTCGATGTGGGTAATACATCTATATGTAAATGTTTCCACTTGTGTTCAGAATTACTAGCTTGAAAAAAATGTATAAACCTCTTTGAGTAAAGTAGTAATTAGGCAATTATTTTAATTAAATTAATATGATCAGGCCAGTAGATTCAGTTTGGTTTGTTCAATAGAGACTCGAAATGTCACTCTTCTTTCCAATTTTCTCTCCTCTCACTCTCTCTCTCTACTTTAGCCCATTTCTCTCATTCTCGCTCCCCCCCCCCCCCCCCCCCCCCATTGCAGGATTAAAATAACACAAGCAACAATGTTTTAAAAGGCCAACGTTTTTAAAGCAACATAATCCATTAATATAATTTCAATGGGACTTCCCAAAATGCATTCCGTTATTTGATCTGCTCCATTATAAGCCCAGGAACGGCTATCGCTCCTGCTCTCTCCCCTCCCCCCATCCGTGTTGATGTAGGCTGTAATGTAATTGATGCTAATGTTCGCATATTGAAGCAGTAGGTCATGCATGTGTTAAACTTAAAGTAAGGTACTTTTCTTAGAACCATTTTTTGTACACTTCATCCCGAAAAAGGGGAGGAAGTCGGTAGGGGAATTAACCGAGTTTTAAAAGTGTTTTCTTTCAATATTTTCATGTTAATTCGATGAAGCATGTTGTTTAAAGAACGTAGTTACAGCGCTGATATTAATGGTGTGAGTAGAATTGTGCACGTGAGAATCAGAGAGAGTAGTATCCTCTGGTACCACTTGCGCCTTGATGAGGGGGGTGGTGGGGGTAGCACCATGAGCCATGAGCCGCTTAATTTAATCACAAACTGACCTCTTCCTTCTCTGACCTCTCTCCCCTCCCTGTCTGGCTGTGGAACTGGTGGATGGGCTAAAGAGGTTGATGCAATAGGCGACGGTCCTGGGTGTGTTCCCTATGCTAGACAGTACTCTAGAACACATCTAGGCTAGTATTTACTCCACCTCATGTGTATGATGTCAATCTAGTAAAATTATAACACAAGTAAATCGTTTTACGAAACTGGTAAAAAAGGCATATGTGAATCTAGTCGACTCATTACTGCAGTGAAAGATTATCAAAGTTAACCAACTACTTTACACGCTCAGTCTAGCACGAGCGAGACGAAACGCCCCAATGGAAAAGATCGGTTTCTTGTGTGTTTCATTTGATGTCTGTACAGCTGGTAACTGGATACATATTATTTTACTTATAGAACCAAAATAGGAGATGTAGGCGGTTCATTTCATATGTGAGCTTTGATACTGACGATTAAACAGATTGAAACTGAGAAAGACACACAGACACACTCGCAAACACATATAGACACACAGACTTAAGCACAAACAGACCAACACGTGCATACACAGATATGCAGACAAGCCAGCAGATAGAGATGCAGACAAAACAACACGTAAATACACAGACAGATAGCATCGACACACGGACAGATATACTAACACACAGATTGATCATACCGTTGAGAGAAACATCGATTCACAACAGACAGACACACCGACAGACACAGCGAAGACACAGCGCGACACAGACACACCGAGACACAGAGAGACTCAGAGAGACAAGATTATCTGCAATTGTTATGTGCCAGCCGATAGAACGAGAGGAAGTAAAAATAAAAAAAGAAGGGAATATTGTGGTCTTGTCTGCACTCGGCCTTATATCGTCACTCGGTGCCGCCCCGGTCTGTCAGCCGGTGCGGGGGAATATTCAATTAAGATGAGTTAAAGAGGGGGGGGGGGGTGCACGTGTTGTTGTACTCACGTTGTCCTGGTTACTGCTTGTTGTCACTGGATGCCACTGGGGTCTACAGGGGAATGGTCTATAGGGGACTGGTCAATAGGGGCTGGTCTATAGGGGAATGGTCTATAGGGAATTGTCCTTTAGGGGGACTAGTCTAAAGGGACTGGTTTAACGGGGGATGATTTACAGGCGAATGGTTTACATGGGATTTTACACTGTATACAAGAAGCTTTGTTATGTACTGTAGTAATTGTTAGGTCATGCATTATTCTGATGTCATGTGTCATTTGATGTTGATATCAGATGTCAGACAATTATTCAGAGCAGTTTCCTCTAATTCATACAATAACATCACATGTTCGATAAATAGCCTCTTCAGCGAAACTATTTTAGTTTCCGTGAGTGTTAGCAGATTATCCATTTAGTTTTTATCATGTTTTGAAAATTTATCACGTAGGTTGGGTGTGTAGAGCAATGAGATCTTTTGATCTATTTATAAATCACGTGATTCTTAGCTTAAGTTCATGTGGTTTTATTACGTGGGTTTATCAGCTCAAAGCTAGCAGCTCATCCAGTACTTTAAGACGTTATATCTCGTGATGTCAGCTGAAGTGTGGGGAAGGGAATGTTGCGGCGTCGCTGATCTTAGGTGGGGGATAGTGAATGAGTGTGTGTGGGGGGGGGGGGGGGATTGTTGCTGATCTAATGTGTGGGACAGGGAATGTGGGGGATGTTGTTGATCTGATGTGTGGGACAGAGATTGTGGGGGGGGGGGGGGTTGGGTGTTGTTGATCTAATGTGTGGGACAGGGAATGTGGGGGGGGGGGGGGGGGGGGGTGTTGCTGATCTAATGTGGTCCATACAACCACAAGCAACATATCGCTCATATTTTTAATTTAACGCTGTCACTGTCATGACATAGATTGTCACCTGTCACAAGCTTTTGTCACTGACACGTGCAGCGGTGCGCCCAAACGTCAGCCCGTCTCACCTTTTGTTTGATGACATCACGTTTCACTTCCTGTCGTCGGTGAATACTTTACCTTCCCTTTTCTCAACTACACATCAATAACCAATCAATCAGTCTTATTCAATCTCCTAACCGCCAGTATTTTCCTATCTACCCAAACACACGCTGGCCCTAAAATCAATTCCCCCCCCCCCCCCCGACCCTACTCTCACGCACGGGAACCTATATGCCCGACCCGCTTGACAAAACCGATTTGTTTTTTATGTGTTCTTCTCTCCCCTCCTCCTAACACAATTACCTCCCCTTGACGGCTTTATTTATCTTACATTACGTAACCGTGTTTACTTTGGTCACTTCCGTTCACTTTTTCTTACTGCCCCTTGCCACCACTAGAACAAAAGTTACTTAATTACTGAGCTGTCAATCAATACAAAACTGACTCACTCTTCCACAGGTCTGCAACTAACGGCTGAATCCGGTTCCAGACTAGCAGAATTCTCACCACCACGTGACAAAATATACTGGCTTTGATTGGTGCCTGACATTAACAAACTACTGCATAACGGTTTGAGGGAGTTATAAATAAACAAACGGGTATTCCCTGTGTGCAGCCCATGTGATAAGATGTAGAGTTCTTGGCGTCATCTGCGCGGAAATAAACAAGTTGGATATTTATATCATCGGGAATTCCATGAACGTCACAAGGACGAGCCATATGTAAGAGGTGAGTACTTGAAATTTGGTGTAATCTAAGGTGTGCATAAAGTAGGATAGATATGCGGGTGGGGAGGGGTGTCAGTGGTCCTGAGGTATGGCCGAAACGTGGACCACGGTGCCATTGACTCCAACAACATTGACTCCCACACCACTGACTCACTACACTACACTATTGATTCCCTACATCACTGACTCTCTACATTATATCACAGATTTACCTAAATAACACCAGATTCCCTACAACTTTGACTCCCTACACTACACCACTAACTCATATAATACACCGCTGACTCCTATACTTCACACTGACTCCTACACTACAAAAATGACTCCTACACTACACCACTGACTCCTATAATACACCACTGACTCCTTTACCACATCACTGATTCCCTACATCTCTGACTCCCTACACTACACCACTGACTCTACACTACACTACGACTCCTATACTACACCACTGACTCCTACACTAAACAACTGACTCCTATGCTCCTACACTACACCACTGACTCCTACTACACCACTGACTCCTATACTACGCCACTGACTCTACACTACACCACTGACTCCTATACTACACCACTGACTCCTACACTCCTACACTACACCACTGACTCCTACTACACCACTGACTCTACACTACACCACTGACTCTACACTACACCACTGACTCCTATATTACACCACTGACTCCCAACACCACTACACATTCCCAGGCCTAACTGTTTACCTATCATTATACACACAACCCCCAGCCTAATTTCCTGTGTCAGATAATTAACTCGCAAAAACACTTTCCGGTTACACGTGTACTCCCCTCCCCACCCTCCCCGCCCCGCCCCACCCCTCCACTCCGCCCACCCATCGCCTCTCCTCACGTAACCCATTTATTTGAGTACCCTGCCACATTACGTCACTCCGACCCCCAGATGTTCCGTCTCAAAACGTGCACCGGTTGTTCTTGGTGCAGTGCCAGAAATGTTTATCTTCACTGCAGCGACTGCGGTCTGTCACAGGTGACATTAAGTTTACGTGCACACCGACATGCACACCGACAGGCCAACAGCCTGATAGCACGGGCTGCAGAAGCGCTTTAAATCCTGACAGTATGACATCCCACAAGAGTGACATCCCAAAGTCTGATAACCCAAAATTCTGTTAACCCAAATATCTGGGAACTTACAATTTTAAACTAAAAGTCTGAAAGCCCATAAGTCAGAAAGCCCACAAGTCTGGGAACCCTAAAGTCTGAAAGCCCAAAAGACTGAAAGCCCATAAGTCAGTAAGCCCACTAGTCTGAAAGCCCAAAAGACTGACATCCCGGCATAGCTTAAAATTCTGACAGTTTGACGTCACGAACCTAGACACTCCCATCTCATTAGCGCGTGTATCTTCATTAAAATTTAATGCCGACTCTTATCACTGAAGCACCGAGCGGCTGCACCTTGTTAGAGCACCCCCCCCCCACCCCAACAACCCACCAAACAACTCAAATATTTAGTTTAAAATCTGCATAATGCTATACATTAGATAGCTAGCTAAAATGCAGATATTAATAAACTGCAAAATCCAATCAAATTCCTTTCTGAAATGTAAAAAAAAACCTCTTTAATTCGTTTTATTTAGTCGACATTTAATTTAACCCTCCCCTCCATCTTAATTACTTTTTCTCGATTAATCCATTTACATTTGCTCAAATAAATCACGAACACTCCCAGAATAAATCAAATTTATTTTCGTGTACATTTTTTTTTCCTGCTAGTTTTTTCTTTCCCGTTCGGTATTTTAAAAAGTATCAAATTAAGCCAAGTCACCGGGTACCTGGCTCTAAAGGAAACAAAAAGTAATTATCTGTACCGGCAGCTCTTGCCAGATTTAACTGCCCTGCCAATACGCCAGGGGTTGACGAATATTGCCAATATTGATTTTTATTCAAGCGATAATTAGCAGTAACTTCTTAAAAGAGAAGATTTTTTTCGATCAATGAAGAAGCAGACACTGGCGCAACTGAGGGAATCCTTGCCGGTAAATAAAAGTGTGTAAGGAAATTGAATTCGTCTGCTGTTTGTTTATGTGAAACGTCATTTCCGGAAGCTCCATTTCTACCGCGTGCAACAACAACATGGCGACCATCTGTTTTATTTTTTTAGGACAAGGAACTTATCAAGGGGGAAAAAAATCTCACGGTTAGGTATTTGAATAAAGTGATGTTATTTTTCGAGCATTTAGGCCGTGTTGTTGTTTATGTGTTCAGCTGTTTGTAGTTTGGCTGTGTAGCGCTATTCCCACCATGCAGTTCTATTAGAGCGATAAGAAAAACATTAACGTGATGGATGTTGACTCTGCCATTTCATAAACTATTTCGTCTGTCTCACCTGTAAGATACACCTGGTTGGTGGGTTATCAGACACGTGATCAGCCCACGGGGGAGGGCGGGGTTTGGGTAACTCTTGGCTTACAGATTTGATACAGGTCACCACAGTGGTGATACAGTCCAATGTACTGGTGATACAGGTCACCTAATTGGTGGTATATGTCACCTCGTGTATTGGACGGGGCGTGGGGTAACTCACGTCAAAGATGCAGATCAACATTCATTAGGTGATCTGGTGTCCTGATTTATCCTTAAACTTTGTACTGTGACAAATGCACACCGCCCTAAACTACACATTGAATTAATCCAAGTAGATCTACTCCCAAATACAGACATACTGGCACACCTGTAAACTCTCCACCCTGTCTGTCTACCTTCGTCCCAACGTTTTAATGGTTAGTCTAACTAGTTGTTACATGTTACATTCTGTGCCCAATCAAATTATTTCTGTCACGTTTTGGTATAACGTAAAGAGGGCTTGAATATTCAACAGCCGACAAAGCTCTAGGTCTATATGCTAACGCGTTGAGTTTTACAATTGTTTTGGGAATCATGAAAAACGGCTCAAATTTTGTTTTAAATTCGCAGGATCTAACAGCTGGAAATAACAGCAACAGACTCATGCTAGTGCGTTTCATGTTGTTTTACCTCACTGGGTTTGTTTAGATTATATTTTATAAGTCTTTAAATCCTTTATCTTAGTGGGGTACTTTTATAAATATATCAGCCAATCTATACAATTTTACATACACTCCTATGTAAACCTTTGTTTTAGATTCAGTAGAGTAACATCTTGAGAGGAAATGAACACAGAACCTACACACAGCACAGAACCACTTCCCTGCCGTCGAGGTTAATCCGATTAGCCGTACAACCTGTGCTAGCATACATCAAACCTAGATCGGTTGTCTTACCCTGAAGCTTTCTAATGAATACCCAGGGAGAAATTATACGTCTAGCACCGCTTCTGCCGCTCATTATCTAAATTAGTAGCGGGATGCCTGTGGCACCGTGCAATTCTAAAGGCCAATAACTAGCCTTGCCTTGTTTATAACGCCCTCAAAGATTTACTGCCCTTAAGCATCCGACCCATACGCACGATGTTCTAAAATGCCAGAAACGTATACCCCCGATGGGATTTGAACCCGCGCGTTCGTGGAATTCTCTGAGGGCGGAGGCTGGGATTTCTTAAAGCAGGAGGAGAGTTCCCTCGGTAGCTGAGTCAACAAAGGGGGACTAATATCCACAGTTGATGTTTGCTCTACCTTCTTCCCTCCCCTGTCCGCACGCCTGTCAATCCGCGTGAACACGCTTGACTATTCCTGCTCAAGGGGGACAATTTTAGTCAGTAAAGGGCGACAACTTTTTTTTTCTATATAATGGGAGATTACTAGAATTCCATTTTTATTATTCTTCCTTTTTATACGCGAGAGTAAAAATAAATCATCGGAGCTTATTTAGAGAAAAAAAATCATGAAATATAATCGAAGCAGCAAGCTGGGTTATAGAATGTGAAATGTCTTACTAACGCATGATAAATTATACAGCACTAAAGGTCAAGGCTAGCCGTAGAAATGTCGTGAAAGGTCACATAGATTATCCACTAAAACCGGATCAAAGGCAGGAATATCAATGAATGTGCTAACATCGACGTGGGAAGATCGATTCCTTTGTCCGCGTACTTTTATTGTATTAGACAATGGCATCAGACGATACGGTACCGATCTACCCCAGACTCTCAACACCACGGTGGTTGCGGTCTCTTTGATTCCAGCCTCTCTAATTACGAAGGTGTTGTTTATTTGATTTCAGCCCACATAACTTGCATGCGAGAGGCTGTTGTCGATTTTTGCGACAACGTCTAGACCAGTGGTTCCCAACCTTTTTCTAGTGGCGACCCACTTTTATAAAAAGTAAGTGACCCGCGACCCCCATAGAATTAAAAAGCCGAAATTAGTATGGAAATTAATAAGCACTAAAATAAGATTTTCTAGTAGACTTTCAGGGGTCGGCGTGGTCGAGTCGGTAAAGCTCATGGTTGCTAAACCGAAAAGTCTCGAGTTCGAACCCTCGGGCAGATGAGGCTCGTTAGCTGGGGACAGCCACTCTTCTAGGAGAGACAACTCCAAAATTAAACAACTGCTGCCTTGTAGTTTGTTCTTGGTTGGACAAAGGCTATGGAAGCAAATCCAAAAAGAAAAGCAGGCTGAAATCGGAGTCAATGGCCTCAATGGCGCATAACCAGTTGACACGTAACGCTTAATTGTGTTGGAGGCGTGGTCGAGTCGGCAAAAAGCTCATGGTTGATAAATTCGAACAGTCTCAAGTTCAACCCCACTGGCAGATAAATCTCGATCCCCTTCAACACTAATAATTAAGAACGAAGAAGAAGAAGAAGTAGACTTTCAATATGAACTACTATTGATAACTGTTTTAATAGCATGAGTAAAATTGCATACTTTTCACTAAACCTTCGTGGTTAAGTTTTTAATTTAAAAAAAAAAATTGTAAACGCCAACCTATGTCATTATAATTATCTTAATTTTGTTTTTAATCGAAGAATAGTGTTGAAAATATATTATCGATAAGTCAATCAAATGTACGTTTGGGTATGAATGGTGAATACTACA